TGCCCAAAACTTCATGTTTACCTTTTTTAATTAAATGATTCATTTTGAATGTGCCAGTTGCAGGGGTGAAAGCATTTATCTCTTCATGCTGAGGCAAGAATTCTTACAAAAAAAAAGTGACCTAGAACCGATTTTTAAGGGAGAAAAGTTKACAAAGGTAAATAATCCAAAGCTGAAGGCTGTTTTTTCTAAAATATTCTTTTTTTTACTTACTTTAAACTGATTTTCTCTGTCCTTCTATTTCCTATTTGAACCATTAAATCCAAAAGTCATTTTTTATGGCAATTCAGCCTTCCAGGCCACACSGTTCTGACTCCTCAGCATTCCAAGTGCTTCAGTGGGATTTAAGTGCACACAAAAGGACACATTTCTAGGGTGAAGATATAATTTGATTTTTGGACTATGTGATTGCAGATGGCTGTAAAAGTAAATAAACTTYCTCATGCTTCTATATCAGTTCTTCTAATTGGAGCGCTAAGAGTAAATGAGTCGATTCACTTAGTTATGGGTGAGAAATGAACCAAAGCAATTCTCCATCCAGCAAACATCCAACCAAAATAGTAACTTGGACAGGGATAATAATAAAAACCATAATGTCCTGCTGCTATGGGGCATACATTATTACTGTCCTTAAGGAGGAAGGTGATATGAGGCTCTGGGTCGTCTGGGGTGTGGGATAGCTGAGAAAGCATTTTGCTCTTTGAAGGCACAGATCAGCAGGGTCTCCATGGCACAATGCTTTGTTAGAAGAGCTTAACAATAAATGCAGAAGTGTTCCTGGGCTGAACATAAGGGTTGATCATGGCTTTATGTAGCATATTTCATTTACAGTCTGTTTGAATGTACATATAGCTGCAGTGAGCTATCTTGGCAGCAGGGCTATCTCTCAGCCTTTCCTCTTTCTCCAGGGGATCCTTCAAATCTCCTTCCAAACTGGCCCTGTTTCATCTACCATGGTAGCCCCATGGTTTCTTTTCCTAGGCTGCAGGAGCACATGGGCTGGGTTTGTGTTCTGCTAGCAGTGTGCTCTGTGTTCCATCTTCCTGACGCTTCTCTCTTACCAGCAGATTATTTTTCTTGCTGAAGTCCCCTCGGGTGCCTTGCAGAAGGGAGGGTTTCAGTCCTCTGCCTGATATATAGAGMTCTCCACTCTTTTTAGCCCCAAGGGTCATGGAGGTGCATGCAGGATCACGGTGATCATTCTGCAGGCTGACAACATTTCAAGGTGTAAATGAGCTGTGACTTGTCATGTCCTTCTGAAGCGGGTTAATATTCTTTTTAAAATATAGATGGGTAAACTGAGATGAGATGGTGCCCAGGGGCACCTCCGGAGAGCAGTGCCTTGCTGTGCTGAGCACATGTCACTGCACAGAGCACTCTAGAAAGTCAGAGCCTGTTAATATGTTCACATCAGTGCACGGGGGGCTATTGCCCGCTCTGGGGACGAGCTTGGGCAGAATGAGCTGTGGGCAGCTCCTCCAGTGCTGCACTGCCTGGGGTATATGTTCCTTTATCGACCATTTCCCAAACTTCCTGAAATCTAGTCTCTACTTTAGAACATATTTGTATCCTTGGAGTACTCCTGTGATGCTCAGCTTCAGCTGATGAGCTACAATTAGAGGGACTCTATATAAGGCCTGTTTGATTAAGTGCTGATTACCAACCAGAAACTTGGTGTTTCCCATGAAGTACTCAAGTGTGTGTCCTTGTTTTACTTGCTCTGTGCTTGCATTGTGCTTTGGAAGAGGCAGCCTGGCCTTCATCCCTCACCCAGTTCCCCTTTAACAGCATTAATAGGATGTTCTGTGCTGTAGAGTGCTAGTGTAAGAAAGGCAATGCTCTGGAGCCTCTCCTTAACATTTTTCTAAAATCTCTGCATCTTCCTGTAGTTTACATTGTAAATTAGCACTGCCTCTGTGAACTTTCTGCTCTCAACTAGATTCTTCTATGCCTCTCCCTCAAGGCAATTCTCTCCTTCCAGCAGGTCAAAGTCTAAGTCTCACAAAAGACAAAAACAATGGAATTATCATCTTTTTGTTTTGGTGTGTTTTATAGTGCCAGTGCAGTTTGATTTGCTCTCTTCTGCAGCATCTGTGCACCAGGCTTCAGTGATTTCCTGTAATAGCCCAATATACTCTTCTGGATTCATGTTCAATTTATACATAYGCCCCATTTTAATCCTTCTGTCCAAATCGGTTATTTTATACTTCTCTGCATCAAACTGCATTCACCATCTGTTGGTCCGGTTGCCCTAAATAAGCCAAATACTTAAAAGTATAATTACAATATTGTTCATTGCTTATGCTCTTTTTTCTAATATACATAATGACAGCAAAATTAAATAAATAATTTTAAACTAATCTAAATTCCCATCAGGTTTTTAGCCTGCACTGATCAAAATAGTTAGTAGGTGTTATCAAAAAGAGAAGTCATCCATCTCGGAAGACACCTGATGCCCCAGATCCTTCAGTTCTCTGTGAATACCAGCAAATTTCTGCTCAGCATCCACTGAGCTGAGTGCACATGCTATCAGTGCATCAGGATATTGTTAAATCATTGCACAGAAGAATTGCAAGGTGGTTAATCAGAATCTGCTTTTATACTGCCACTTTCATGAAACAAATGTACCCAGACAAGATTTCCTTGTCATATCTGCTCTGATCTCTGCTCCAACTGAGGCTTGYTGTTCCAGAACTGTGTACTACATATTACACTTGGGCAGTTTTTCCAGCCTTTATAGGGAAGGCTCAGAAGCACCAACCGTGTTCCCCAGGGGTAACTACTCTGTGACCTTTGATTTAATTTTCTCTAATTTCTCTGTGGGGCCACCCACAGTTCTCAGGCTCTGCTGGACCTACTTCATCCTCACTTGAGCATTAATGAGGCTGGTGAGGAGCAGGGGAAGGCGAGTACTCAGTAAGCCTTGTGTGTAGTCCAGGCCTGGGTTTGTTTGCATTTCCCTCTAGGATTTAGCGGTGGAGCCGCGAGGGAGTAGGGGGGGAGCACTTTTGACAAACATCAGAGGCACACACTTAAATGTGATACTTTCCACCCAGCGCACATCTCCCCGAGGAGCAACTTAGGTAGAGATAAATAAGACATGTAATTTCTTGTCAGGCTGTTGCATTTCCCACTGSTCGTTTTAACAATTACGTGCTCTGGCTTTTTTTATTAAACAACTGGAAAAAAAAATACGTTCTTGTAAGTTAGGAAGAAGAATTGCCTGGAGAGATGAAAAATATCCAGACTTAATTTTCTCGTGCTTTTTGAAGTGTTTGAAATGCATGTGTTTTTAGTACAGCAGCCAATGAGGAGACCTGTGGTTTTGGCAGCTCTTTGCCACACTCACCTTCTCCGTAGCTGGTTTCCTGGGAAGCCAATCCAGAGGGAATACAGGGCCTGATCCTCCCTGTGACTGCCTTAATTGCTGCTGTTAAAAGAGCAAGCACAACTTCCCCCCTCCCCAATGAGGTCAATGGAAACATTGCCATAGACTACAACAGTCCCGTAATTATTTTGTAAGCAGCTTTTTTTCCCCCAAATCTTATTTTTAAAGCAGTTAATGAAATAAGTGATTGCCCTTTAGTGAGCAGTGTCCCAGTGTGAGTTGTAATCAATGCTCCTTCCGAGTGCTGCTCTTTGCATGGATAGCTGTACCAATTAGAGGCTCTTTCTACAGAAAGGTTATGCAAACACAGCTTTATTCCTTATTACTAATTATTTTGCGGGCAGGGCCAAGTTTTAAGAGGGTGTCCAGGCTTACAGCATCCCTGTGGGAGTAGCTTTTGCAAAGAAGAGGTTGTCTTTAAGACTGACTGACCTGGAAAATGTGTATTCAAGGAATACACTTGCTAAATGTTTCAGCACTTTTCTTTGYTTTCAAGGCCAGAAGGCTGTACATAAAACACACTCCAGAATTCATGGCAAAAAACTTCAAGGCTTTTTTTTACCGTGATGCTTCTGAACTTGAGATCAACCTGTTGTGAATGGATAATAAGATCAGCCTGAAATCCTAGTTGTTTGCACTACTGAGTTACCTTTGAAACTAGATGTCTGAAGAAAAACAAGCTGCCTTTGAAGACCAAATAGAGAAAGATACAACTGAAATAGATACTGAGACAGATCTCAACCTGCCTTCTATAAATATCAGTTTTTAAATGGGATTTAACAATGTGTAGCATGGTTTCATAGTGCCAATGACTATTGAAAAGGCAATGAAGGATTTCTCATGTGTTTTGGGGCTGAGCACATGCTACAGAGCGGGTTAGTACAACTCATCTTCAAATATGATTTCTGTAAGAGATAGGGTACAACTGAGGGAGGTAAAGGTTGGGAAGGGGGCAGGGGGTAAAAGGCTCCTCTTTCACACAGTGGACATTGGAGTCATTAAAAATGCAGCTAGCTATACCCTGGAATATTTCTCTTGTGAGGGATAGAAATACAATCCTTTTGAAACGGCCAAGGGTTTTAGTGTTTTGTTGGGCATATTTTTCTCCAGGCAGAAGTGACACAGCTCTGCACCGCTACAGCCAGTTCTGCCAAACCAGCACCKCTTCTGTAGCTGGGAATATGCACATCAGGGCAAGGATGGCACTGGACTCTGAGGCAAGAGGCTGCCACTTGAAAAATCACCCCCGAGATAAACATTCTTTTGGGAGCATCCTCATCTAGCTGTTTTGCTCTGGTGCAATACTGAGGGATGGGGCAGGAGGACCATGAGAGAGGACTAAGAGCAGAGGCATCAGATGGAAGGGGTGGAAGGGCCATCAGGTGGAAGGATGGAAAATCCTCTTTCTACCAAGAAAGAGCAAGACAAATGYAGACCACTGTATTGCCCAAGTGAGTCAAAAGGGAAGGAACCAGAGGGAGAGAGCCTGTTGGAGGGGTCAGAGGCAAAAGGACTATAAGAAAGAGGCCGCTGMAGTTGTAAAGGTAGTGACCACATGTGCGCGGAGTTGCCTCTACTATTGTGTTTCAGAAATGATTTTTTTCCCTTTAAGATCACTTGTAGGTTATGAACATGAAAATATGGCACTCCAGACCCAGCCTGCTGAACGTGGCTGTCRGCGAATGTTCATTTCTAACATTTCTCACTAGGGTGAGTATTGATTTCGTATCTCACACTAGACAAGTCACTTCACCAAACTGCAATTGAATGTTTAACAGATTAGTCATTCTGGCTTTCAGGAGACTCGCAGTTCATCTGCAGTCTGTCATATGATGACCTTTATGACTGGGATAGTCTTTATCTTACTATTATGATAACAGAAAAGACTGATATCAAAGTTATTTATATTTATTTATTTTGGAACTAGGCAATGGAATAATTGAAGGATCAGTAAGGTAAAAAGTTCTCCAAATAGGATGGCATTTGTACATCTGGGAGATGTACAGTCTTTTTAAGGACAAGGAGAAAAACTTGGCTGAGTAGGCAGCTTAGATGTGGTTAATGCTGCTTTTTTTTTAGTGRAGAAATGCTCAGAAAAGATGCATTAAGGCTGTGGTATTCCACATGTTAACTGCTTGCACAGGTTTTTCCCCACATGCYTTTTTTCCCTGGAAAAGCAGAGGCCCCTGTCTCAAAATGACGGATGAGTCAGTGACATCCTGAAGTTCTTTATAGTTTACACGTTTGTAACCTAAATGTGGAAGATGCTGAAATACTGTAGCAACATACAGCCATTAAAAACCACTGGGAGAGTCCAGCCCAGGGGGAATTTGCAGTCTAAGACAATGAGCCATAAACTGGAAGATCTCTATTTGCGTGARGAGCTGTAATAGGACAAACTGCTTTTTTCATCAAGAAAATCTTGATATCTTAATGGATAAGCACCCCTTCCCATCTCTAAGAAAAAATGAGGATCAATAATTCTTTGTTTTATTTTTTCTATTTACKACCTCCCTTGATATTTTTTGCCCTCTTTCCACCTTCCAAGCTATCCCTGCTTTCTATACATATATGTTTGTGCAAAGCACACGACTGCAGGGCTGTTATGCCYTACTAATGACTGATCCCCAAATAGCCACGTCACCCAGGTCAGATATTAAGCCCCTGGGGCTCAGGTGCAGAAGCCTTTACTGCAGCCAAATGGGCTGGTGTCTTCAAGTGACATGTGAGGTGCCAAGAAAGAGGTACAGTCTTGGCTCAAACATCACTCACTTTTATAAAGAGATAGCCTGTCAATTTTGATGAGATTTTTTTCACCTGAGACTKTAGAGAGGGGCAAACCTATGTGTGAAGGTAAATAATGTGTCAGCTGAGTGAGAGGCTGTGATTCATGGTGAAATCTTCCCCACCRTGAAGGGTTAACATGAGCTTATGTGGCCCTCAGTGAAAATTAATAGCTTGTATCTGTTTAATATTCTTTCCCAGTGCATTGTCAAATCATTTCATCTGTATTTAAATGGATCAGTGGTTTGCATTTTCAGTTTCCTCATTCCTCTTCTGTTTTTTTTACTGATCCTTTGCTGTTTGCAGTTGTTTCTACAATTATGAAAGAAAGTCCATTTGTTCATTGTTTTTATCTCTATTTCGTAAGATTCTCATAAAGTTGGAGGTAAAAGACATGTGCCATATTAGTGGATGTACTTTTTTTCTCTAGATAAAAAAATTGGGCCACATCTGTATATTTTATGGCTTTCACCACAGACATGGCAGTGTCATGATTTGCAGTTAATCAAAACATGCCAGCTAGGAGCAGATTTCCTAAACACATGTATCAGTATTATTTGTCATGCAAGGCATTAATTTAAAACTGATGCATCTGTTACAATCATTGGTGCTTAGAATGGAAAAGATCCATAGGGARGCTTTCAGCTTTCCATTTAGTGCTAAAGCGGAACTGAACTCTATCAGATGTATTATTATTGTCATTATTATTTAATAGCCCCCTCTACCTCTCATGTGTGCTGGACACTTAATGGAAAACACATGAGAACAGGACTTGTCCCACATAACTTACCAGCTAAGTAGTGGACCATAAAAACACAAATGACAATAAAACGTAACATGAAGTGCAGGGCCATGGACCTCTTGGCATGGCAATAATGCTAACGCTGGTGGACACAGCGGACTTTTCTGCTAATTTGGTTCTTTAGGTGTAAATATACCTGTGCAACCYTGAGTTTTAAAGCACAGCCTGATGTTGGAAGGATTTGAGAAGTGCGTTTAAACACAGATTTGTGAGCAGAAGAAAGGACAGACGRGCCCAGAGTGGTATGAAAGGGACACATCTCCTCTCTTGTAGGTCCCAAGAATGCTGATTTGCTTGTCTGTCTCATGCCCTCTCCATCTGAGAAATCTTTGCAAGGGTCACACTCCTGACTTCCAAGAAAATAGGTGAGAGCCAAGGCTGGGGTCTGCTGATCTTTGGGGCTGTTATTTCTTTGCTGCACTTGGCAGCATGCAGAGTGCAGGTCAGAGAACTGCAGAGATGCTGAGCTTCCAGGCAAGCCTAATGCCCATTAACCTTGGGAACACCGGGGGACATTCTTTGTGCTGCCAGGTGCCCCCTGCATCTCAATGGTGGTCACATTCATCACCCATCAGAGCTTTCATCAGGAAGAAAAAAACCAAAAACACATTTTTTACTAGTTCAGATGTTAATGAGTCATCTATGAAGCATCAAATATTTCACATTATGTAGGGAGCATTTGAGTGCCCTGAAAGCCACCATCAGCTGGGGTGGCTGTAAATATTGTAAATTATCCCCTCAGTTTAATGAGTTACCATATSAGGAGAGGCTTGTCTACCAGGTAATGAGTCACAGCTCCACTATATTGGAGATCAGCTGAGACACTTGATTTACTGTGAGGTCTATCTGTATGAAAAATAATCAGAGGCCATCAAGGAAATCCAAACAGACCCAACCCACCACAATTTAATCTCCCCGCAAATAAAATGTGCTCATAAATCAGGGCAAGCATGTAGATGTGTCCCTCTAATGCTTCAGTTTGGAAAAACAAAACCACAAAAAGCTCCATTGGATGTGAAAGCTATTACAGTTACCCTGGGTAATGTCAGCAGTATTACACTAATTTGTAATAAGGAGCTATAATGGAGCATCTGCCCTTACAGCTAGTTAATTAGACAAGATAGAGAAAACAATTTGACCAATACTGTTGATGTTTCAGTTGTTTCCACTCTGAAACCTAAAGCGGACATGCATTTATATTTTTCATTAAACTTCTCAGAYAAAAACTGGAGAAAAAAGAGAGATAAGTAAATAAAATAATCATAGATCTYTTTTCTTTACTAAAAGGAGATTTTTGATAGAAAAGTCAAGTAAACAAAAYATATATGTTTTTGTCAAAAGTATTACAAAATGCTTCAACTTTCACAGAAATATATATACTTATGGGAAAAGTAAGCATCTCTTTTAAGCACTGGTAAGAAAAATAAGATATAAAAGCATTGGTTGGATTTGGTAATGAGCCATTCTGGCAAACTACAACATTCATTCATTGCTCGGCTTTTCAGCTGGAACAGAATAAAGGAAAGTTGATACAATTGAATGATCTCCGTGAAAATCAGTCCTGAATGATCGTTATCATACATGGATTTCCAGGTGGTGAATGGATATTGTTGTACAGAAGAGTGGAAGAACCAAGCTTGACATTTGAAGCTGGTGCCATAAGAACTTCATCCCACAGCAGGTTGGTCCCATGCTACTGCAGTWTATATGAAGTCGATTAAAATGAATATTCATCCTGAAATTATTTTAAAGAATGTGATTTTAATTCGTCCTAGCAAATGTACAATTTCATTGCTCTGTTTCAGAACTGTAAGCTGAAAAAAATGCAGGTCCTTCTGCTCATCAGTAGGTTTGATATATGTCCCCAAGAGGAAGTTATGCAGGAAAGTTTTGTCTGTGCATATTGTTTATTGTCATTTCTTATTGTCTTGGACACTGTGCTCCCTTTTTGCTTGACTATGATGTGCATGATTGCTTTTAGGAAAAAAATTCAAGGTAATAATTTATAACAATCTGCATTCAGAGGCCTCTCAGCTTTCACATACTTGTCTTAAATCATTTAAGAGACATTTATGATTGATTTACAAGCAGATTTTTATATTGTCGTAGATACAGAAACATAATGACTGCCTTCTGCACAACTGTCCTTCATCTCTAATTATATATCCAAACATATCCTTGGTAATTTGTTAAGATATTTTCCAAAAAAAGAGACTTTAAAGGCCAGAAAGGAAGCCAAGATATAGACATGAAGGTTGATGGTGTTACTTTTACTTTTAAATGGTTGTCAATACTCAAACTCATATTGGGCAGAGCAGAAGTAGAAATGATTATTTTGTATTTCAATGATTATTCACTTCAGACGAGCAATGGGTTTGCAGTGGGAGGGTGTTCTCATCCTTGTGACAATTCTAGTAAAGGTGGCTGAATGGCATCAAACCACTTTGAGCTCCATGGAATAGCTCTGAAAACAAAGTCCCAAGGTCCTTTCATTGGGAATAACTTTCTGAGTAACTTCATGTGTCTGCCCTCGGGGGAACAAACATTTTTTGTGAGTCGCAAATCTTGAAGCCTCTGTGTTGTGCTACCAACTTCTTAATCTCAAGTAGAGGGATATTACACGAGTGGTGAGAGGTCAGTCATCTTTCCATCCACTACCTATGCCCTTCGCTAATGGGAGAGGATGATTAACACCCAAAGTGTCACTGTTGCAGCCTCAACATTAACAGAATATTCTCCTTGGCTTGTTGGCAAATACAGGAAATAGAAATTGTGGCTCTTTCTCAACGGTGACTAAGYGCTGAGTGCTCACCTGTAAGTCATTTAAACAGCAAACATTCATACTAGTGCTTTCAGGATATTTTCTGTAACCCAATTATTTTCTTTTTAAAATAGCAGGRAAAAGTGGAGCAGGAATATAACTTTAATAAGAACCTGTCAGACTTCTTACTCTCCTTGCTGCTGCTCTTCATTTTGCTCCATTTTCTTTATACTCATTAAGTGTTCTAGAATTAGAGTCAGATGAGGCTGTGTTTGAGAAGCATCAAGATAACAAGCTTGCAAATCTCCTTTAATAACACCCTCTTCTCCCACATCTTGCTTTTTCTGTGGGGGTTCAACAGGAGATTCGTTCTGTTAGAGCAGCCAAAAATGTGGGCTCTATTAGCTTTACAGTAAGTAAATGAATTGGGCTTTTTTTTTCCTTTCCCTTGCCTGTGCCTACTCAAGGGCAACCAGAGAAAGTCTTTGCTGCCTTACTGAGGAGTTATCTAATGGCTTGTTGTTGTCCTTTGACCTTTCGTTGTGCTGCCCTGTTCTTGTACTGGAGGTCGGTCCAAGAGCAAGTGAATTCTCCTTATCTTCCACTGACTTATCAGAGCACCAGTGAGGTCAACAGCTTCTGATTCCTTTGCATTCCTCCATCTTGCACTTTTGCATTACTTAAGAGATATTAGACTCCTTCATGGCAGATGCTGTAAGGATCCCTAATAAAAGGAGTTCCTGCTACTAGGAGCTTAAAGAAGAAAGAGATATAGCGAAAATAGATTATCTTCTTTGAATGCAAGTTGCCTAAGATTCCATAAGAATTTGCAGCAGGATCTGCACCCCGACTATTGCAACATCTTCAGGAGAGGTCCTCTCWCATCTGATTTGAGAGGAATGGCTCTTGTTTACAACAAAGGACCATTTGCTTTAAATACAAGTCAGCATTTAAATACAAGTCACCTTATTTATTACAAACTAGTGTCATAGACATTTCAGTTTCACACAGAGAAATGTGTGGATTCTGCTACCTAGGAAAACTGCAGCAAGAAGGGTTAATACTAAGGGTTAAATGTTCTGCAGAATAAAATTAAACAACAGCAAAACTGTCCATGGATTTTCTGGTGATTCCTCCTTGTTTCATTTAACCTGTGCATGAACATTTTGAGGACCAAATGCCGTGCAGAATGAGGAGAGACAGTCACTCGGGGCTCTTGCTGGTCTATAGCAGTGAACAAGACGGAAGAAAAACATTCAATTTTGGCAAAAACTACCCATTATATTCCCATGTTGTTGCCAGTTTTCAAAGGCATATTATTGCTCATTAGTGTGAACCTGAAAGATTACTGTTCAGCACAGRGATATGTTCAGTCAGAAACATTGTGGCCTGCCCACAGAACATGTACATATCGGTATAGCTAACGTGACAGCAGGGTGTTCTTTTACACCAAGTGAGCTCAACTGAAATTACATAAGTATATAAGGTAACACCCAATAATAACATTAGCTGCTCCTAAGAAGGTGGTATTAAATGAAACTGGCATCTTGCATGAGTTGAACGCATGTGAGAATTCACTTCTGGCCCAAAAAACACTGTAACATAAAAACTGATTTATAGGAGCCAATTTCCTTTTGAAAAACCATCGCAGCATCACAACAGCCACAATGCAGTTCCTCCTTTTTCTGTCTGATGTAGTTCCTACTTTGTGTTTGCTAATTGTCTAGATTCTTTCATTAATGGCAGAGGATTTTTTTTAAATTGTTGTCTGTTCATTATTTAGCTTAAAGCTGTCCTGTGACCACCCCTACTTTAGCTAAATAGAAAGCTAACRTGGTATAAATCAAGTCTTTCACCTGCAGCTAGACCGTGTTATAGAGTCTCTGGTACTACCAACGCAGTGTACAGTCACACAAGARAGTCACTTCTGTTGGGAAGATCTAGGCTTACCCAGCAAAGCACTAAAACAGGATGTTACTGGGTGAGGGATATTAATAAAATCTGTTCTGCAATGAGATACATCAGTAAGCTGAATAAGCTCGGAAGCTGTATAGTGAGACAGATACATGCGCACATACACCTCCAGAGAAACAAAATACTACTGTGTTGAAGAAAGGAGGTATGAATGGCGAATTGAAAGCTTTCACCCAGCAGTGCAAGATCCACAGAGATTATAGTTATGGGCAATAAATAAAAGATTTAAAAGGAGGCCTCAGGAAMTCCCTCTGTGTACACAAGGCTAGCATTCAAGATGCCATTGAGTATCTCTGTAAATAATTTCTTTATCAAAGAACCCATTTGGTTTACAGATATTGGGTCCTTCAAGTTATCTTGCAGGAAGYGTAAGGAGGCACCTGTTTAGTGTCTGATAGGAACTTCACTCGTTTACCAGGTATTTACAGCCCTAAAGCACTTTATGAACTTGGATATAAAAGCTTTACTACTTTTTGTTATTAAAGCAAGCCACAARGCGGAAAGCAGTGGTTATCTGACAAGATCCAGYACATGAAATGATTTGTGTCCATCTGAGACGAAAGACCAAAGCCAGAGGCCCAAGTACAACYCCTGGAATGAACTTGGGGCTAAGAYACRAAAGCTAAGGCTCAAAGTTGGCAAAAGTGCCATGTGTCACTGACAACAACAAATGTGTGAGAGCTTGCTTTGACAACCTACACAAAAGATGGCACCATCACTTCTTGTACTACCCCACCACCTGGAAGATGCTTCCTTACTGACTCGAGGGAACATTGCCTTCTGCTGCATCATCGACCACAGATGAAGCTGGCCAAGAACCACTTCCAGAGTGTGACAGCACCAGGAAAACAGCAAATTTGTAATAAGGTGTCTCTGCTACCTCACAATGCCACAAATGCACATTTCATTTGTAAGATACAAACAAATCCTAATCATTCTTTGAGAGCTATAAGGTCTCATCTTTACCATAATGAATTAATGGAATTAAGCAAACATTTTTATTGGATATTGACGTGTAATTTGGGTAATCCTTTCTTTATGAGATGTTGATAAACAGTTGGGGAAATGGTAGTCTATTGCCTAATAATTTGCTTTTCAATTTTGGAATTTGCAAATTAACTCTCCCACTAAATGAGGTGCTAGGCTGATGTCAATATTAGCAGGTACTCTACAATTATGCTGTGTTTGCTAAATCACATTGTTTTAATTCAAAAGTCATTCTGCTTTCCATTTAGACCATGTTCCTGCTGGGTGCTTAGTTCTCCAAAAATGCAGTATGCCCTCAGGTCTCATGGAGTCAATGGCATTAGAGATTACACAGCTTCCTTCAGGTTTGAGTCTCATTTATTTGGAAAAAAAAATAATTAGAGGTTAAGAGTTAGGTTTATRTAATGTAGAAAGTAGACAAGGCATCTAATTCTTACATTTATGAATCTCTACTTTTAACTGTTTTCTTAGCGGGAGATTTCAAGGTGAACCTGCATTTTCTTGTTAGACTAATAGGTCTTAATTTTCTGTATTTTTTTTAGCTTCACTGAGGTGTTCTCCAGCCTTTCATCATCCAGGGGAAAGAACCAGGCTATCTAATCAGCCTGTCTGAAGGAAATGCCTTTTTAATGAGTCCGAGTCTCCAGCAGGACTCAAAATAGCAAGGCAGTAAAGTCAGAAGTGTTTATGGAAAGAAACAGCATTAAAAGCGTTTGTATCATGGTATCTTGGAAATGATGGCTGCTGATTCACCACATGCTATCACAATCTCAGTCTTCCTTAGCCCTTCTTATTGCTGTTTGCACTTGCCTTATGTGCATGACTTTAACAAAACCCATGATTTGCTCGTGCTAATAGTATATTATGCTGGGATACGATTGAAATCCTTTCCTATCACCACCTTCCAGCAGCAGTTGACCCAGAGAGTTTTGCACCACAGAAACAGAAAACAGAATTTTCAAAGACCTCCTGAGGTCCAACCTTTGGTCATCCTGGGGTTTCTTATTTATTTATGCATTCTTCCCTGCTCTTTGAACATATCTGAAGTTCTCTCTCATTTTCTGAATATGAAGCTGTCCCTCAGACAAATGCACCTGCCAGGGATTCTGAGCTGGTGCTGAGCAGACAAGATTTATGCTACGTGTAAATCCATTTGGCAGCATGGAAGCATTCCTTCTCATCCACATGTCTTAAAGCAAATGAAAATTGGCCTCAGCATGGCTGCATTGTCCTGGAAAGAAACCCAGATGGGTGCAGTCTGAGTGAGATCTGAGAGGGCTGTGCCTGGTTTTGAATTTKACTATAATTCTGTATTCAGCTGAATTCAGACTTCTCAGGAGGTTCTTTTCCAGTGCCTAATGCAGCACTAGATGCCATGTGCACCTACTCTGTCAGATGAAAGGGCAGAACAAGTGTCAACACGGTAGATGGGTGTGCCTCCAAGGTGGCTCTGAAGATGACATTCCCCAGTCAGTCTTGCAATTATGCCACATTAGCAGTGATTTGCAGCTAGGCAAATCAGGGCAAATCCCAGGGCTATGGAGCGGATAAGAAGCCCTAACRTGGCCCTGTGCAAATACCTGTCAGAAAACCGTAGCCACAGAGAAGGGGGAGGATGCAGACATTTGTGTGAGTACCAAACTCTAGCAGCTGCTCTTGGTGTATACAGCAGTATAATGGAGAAGAGAAAAAGGTGCAATAGCCCTGGAGAAAGTGCTCAGAAATGCCAGGAGATGGGTGGTGAACAGCTTTGGAAAGAGGAAATAATACTCGTGGTTGCAACACTGCTTTTGTAGTTGTTAATATGTCTTCTGTCAGACCATCGTCTTCTCTTAACCCCTGTCCTTGCTCTCCGCTGCTGTATGGCCAACAAGAGTAGGTTCAATGAGGTCCATTACTGCTCCAGTGCAGCTACGCTGGATGAAGCAAACATTAGCTCCCTCAACTGTAAAATATGTCTGGAGGGCTTTGGATTGCAATTCAATTGTGGAGAGAAGTGTCTAATGATACATCTGCCTATCTCGCAGAAGAGGTTGCACCAATAGTCCAACTCTGTGTAACAAAAGCCACATCCTCTACTTGTCTCCATGTATTGTACTCCTCTTATTGACATCAAAAAATAGGTTAAGTTTGGATTTCCTTTCTTAAGTTTGTACTTTTGCTACTGAAATACAGAGCTGTCTTTCATTCAATAAAAGTAACCACAAACAGAGGGAAAAGAAAATATACAACAATGAATTATAATAAAAAATGTTTAGCGTGATGGTAAGTCAAGAAAGCTGCAGCTGTTAAGGTTACCCAGAGGTGAATGTCGATACAAGCCCATGTGTGCTTAACAAGGAGAAGTCCAGGGCAGTGAGACGGTCTCAGGGGAATTGACTTTTTGAAGACTGGAGTGTCCGGCCTTATCTATGACAGCACGTTGCCTCCCAGCTACGAATGTTCAAGTGTTTATACAGTCTGACAAGGGGAGTACCTGCAAGAAATTAAAAAAAAAAATACTGTGGGGTAAAACGTTGCTAATGCTTGATGTGATTGGGGAAGTAGCTAAGCGTTGTCTTGGCAAAACTATTAAGCCCTGAGGAAAGGGAACTATTCTAGCTATGAAGTCTTTCTGCACAGCCAGTGCTAGTCCAAGAACATTAGTATTCATACATTAGCAGCTAGAGCTGGCTCAGTGTAGACCAGAAACAACGTTTGGGTAAAACAATAATTAGCTACTAAATCCAGACAGGTCAGTTCTTCATTCCTGAAGCTGTCTGCTGAGATTCTCAGGAACGTGGCAGCCAAAAGCTGGCAAAAGGCAAACACGAGTCTGCTGCTGTACTTGAGTGGAGATACAACCACCATCCTCCTTTCTTTCAGCCAAGCAGTTCCAGGGAAGTTGTTTTTTACGGAAATAAGTGCAAATTTACAACATAAAGATGAGAAAGAAAAATCCAGGCATCCTGTYGCTTTCGGACAGCAATTTAACTGATAATTGTCTTCTACTGCAATAAACTTAACCAACCAGATGTTTCAGATAATTAAAGTTAATTTTTCCTCGCAGCTGTCTTTCTTGTGATAGGCATTTCAGTATGTCTCCTTTCTCAGCCTGTATGAACTCCCCCTAAGACGTGATCAAAACATGTGAAGGCACTTGTGTGTATATATATATWTTTTATATACACATACGTTCAAAAGCTTTGAACTATCTAGTTTGAATATCAATAGCTGTCACAGCATGTTCAGGGGCTCACTTGGGTCTCTAGGTACATCCATAGTGAGTTGCACGTGTGTTTTCGGAACTTTGCTTCACTTTAGCACCTGTGACACTGCAAGTCATCTGACAAGACTGGCATATCCAAAGCCTTTTTTGCATCCCAGGGAATTTTAAATGCATCCCTAGTCATAATTCTGTATACTCTGGTGTTTCAAGACATGTTGCTGCTCTATTTTCACCCGTGAAAAAAGAAATCTCTCAGGTTGTTTGTAAAGCACTATAGAATCCCCCTATATCAAAATATCTGTTTGGATGCATTAATTGAATTAATTTGCTTTTACAGAGTTTTCTACCTTTCTAGCTTCAGATTTTTTTATAGGATATCTCCCAAAACAAACATGTATGGAAGGAGATGAGCTTTTTATTTTCGTGTTTGCAGTTTGAAGAGATTTGTGGGAAAACGAGCCTTTTCTGKTTTTCCCTTGGTGGAAGAGCAAGTTTTTCTTGGAGGGAAAACAAACACCTTACGAACTGGCAGAGCCCTGCAAGGAAGAGCCAGTTTTTCGTGATTTCATGCAAAACCCTTGGCATTTGAGGTCTCCACGTAGCCTCTGCCCTGCATCTTGTGAGATGTGTGACGCCCGCAAGACTGGCAGGCAGCTCATTCGAGCTGACACCGCTCCGCTCCCCGCTGCCGGCGCCGCTCTCCCTGCAAGCGGCTCCAAAGGTTGGCACTGGGACACAGGGTGCTCCCAGAACCTGTTGCTGTGGCCCTGGCCGGCTGGAGAAGCTGGGAGAAGCGAAGTTCATCCCCACAGGAGCTGTTGGCAGCKGGGGAGCAAAGGGCGGCAGCTGATCGGGCAGCACTCTGGCTCTGCTGCCCTGCAAGGTCTGCAGCTGCTGGGGGCAATGGGCATCAGCCAGGGCCTGCATGGAGATGCATCAGGCATTCTTTATAAGGAATATACTTATTAAAACTAGTCCTGTGGAAAAAGGAAAAAAAAAATGCCCAAACACGCTACTTTGGCAGGAAGAGCTTGAAAAAGGTGCTGGAAGAAGAAAGAGCTCATTAAAAATGTCAGCTCTCCTGCTCTCCTGATTGGCGACAGCTGGCTTAGCCCTGGAGAAATTAGAGGGTTTTTAAAGGCCATTTTTCAAAGGCTGTGGGAGTTCCTGGGCCTCATGTTAGAAAATGAAAGTTAGGGTCCAAATCACGCAGTTACGTTTGAAAAGGACSTGGCCGGGGCTTCCACAGCACACAGGGCTCCTCAGGCCAGGGCCCTGGTGTGCCCCACCAAACCATCCAGCTGCTGCCCCTTTGGGAACTGGGGAACTCAGGGAACACGTGGCCACACGGCTGGTGCGCACCTGGAAATGACCCAGGATGAACGTGCGAGGAGCAGGGCAGGGCAAGCGGCGCGGTCACACTGAGGAGGGACGCGACGAGGGGTTTTCAAAACAGGRTATTTCCTGAAAGGAGAAGTGCAGGTGGCCACGATGGGCACTGTGAGCGGCCCTGGGCACGAAGCCTGTTGAGGGAAGCGTCCTTAGCCACCTGTGGTGCTCATGAGTTGCGTGTTTTTGGTGCTTATGTGGCCGCTTTCCACCTTTAACAGCAAACGCTTTCTTGGGAGGGTGAAATTAAGGCTTACGAGCCAGACATGGTTGAAGGAGCCAGGCCTAACAGGGAGAGAGGGTCCAGCCCACCCACAAGAAACTTCCCCAGGGAGCCGCCGGGTGCGGCCCTCAGCCCTGCGCGCCGGGGACACCCCGGCCCGGCCGTGCCCCTCACGGAGCGGGATCCCGGCGGCTCCGCGGCGGGGGCGGCG